CTTATCTGCTCATGTTCAAAACTTTCTGCACATTCAGAATCTCTCCCTCATAGCCTATCTGTGTTCTCTGACAAGTAAAGAAAAAAAAAAGTTGTAATTTTACGAGACTAACGTCATTAGCCTATTTAAAGAGAATTCATAATATTGTACTACATGCCCTATACTGCATTACATTAGTGATTCGCTGGAAGTATCCCCTCGACCATCTGACAGACACAGAACTGGATGAGACGAGGAGGTGCTCATGCCGGGGGAAAACGAAACTAACCGGGGTTACGTACTGTAACCCGGATTCTATGAGTATAGGCGCAGCCCTCGAAGGCTTTTGCTATTGGTTTACCCCTTTTGCGCGCCTGCGCGGCACTGAGAATTTTAGTCTACGCCCACCCACAGCGTGGGCCTCTCCTACGTCCGTACCTTGTATATATCCAACGGTGAGACCCAGCCATCAGCTCCCAAATGCCTTTTCTTCAGCACTGAGAACCAAGGTCCAGTGAGGCCTTCAACTTAGGGCTGCGCCTATACTCATAGAATCCGGGTTACAGTACGTAACTCTTGTTCTATTTCGTATAGGCTTCGCCCTCTAAGGCTATCACTATTGGGTTAGAGGCGAAGCAGGATGAGTCAACGCCTCAACGCGAGCCACCTGCCCAGAGCCATAATGAGCCACCCAGTCGCCTTCTGACTGCAACATTGGTGTCGGCATGCGCGCGAGCACCGATGGCGCTGCATGGGAGGCCGAGGACCGACCCATGCGTAAGTCGGGAAACTGGTTGGGGGGGCCCCCGTGCGCCAGGCGGCGTGCGCGCCACATAACAGGACAGTGCTCGCACCGGGCAGAGGAGGTGGGACGTGGCGTCCTCCACCGACCCATGGGGGGGAGGAAAAGAACCCGAGAGGGTGATGACCTGCGACCGAAAGGAGTTCGTAATGCTTTTAGGCATGAACGCCGGGTTAGGGCGCAGAACAGCCAAGCTGCCGTCGCCCTAAATCTTGACACATGACGGAGCCACAGCGAGGGCAGCCAGATCGCTGACCCTCTTGGCCAATGTCAGAGCCAGGAGCAAGGCAACCTTATCCGAAAGGAATTAGGCTTGGGTTAAGGCGCGTAAACAGCAGCAAATCCCACTGTGGGGCAACAGGCCACGTCACTGGCCTGTGCCTCCGCACCCCCCTAAGGAAACGCTTCACAAGGGGGTGGGAGAACACAGTCCTGTCCCCGAAGCCCTCGTGACAGGACGAAATGGCGGCAGTGTAGGTTTTAACTGTACTGAACGCCAGCCCCCCGGTCCATGAGCAACTGGAGGAACGAAAGCACCGCCGGCAGCGGACAGGCGACCGGGTCCGTCCCCTGGTCCAGACACCAGCGATGGAAAGCCGACCAGAGGAGTAAGAGGATTGAGTGGAGGCGGCCCTCGACCCCTGGATGGTGCAAACCACCTCCCGGGAGACAGCTTAGCCCTCCAGGCGTCGCCTCTCAGCAGAGCGGGTAACTCCTGATCGCACCCCCTCGCTTGAGAGATAGCGTCCCCCCGCCAAGGGAGTTTCCATGGTTGCCCCGCCAGCAACCGCTGGAGACAGGGGACGTTGTCCTTGTTGGCAAACAGATCTGCCTCTGTCCTGCCGAACCTTGAACCAGATCTGGTCACCAGATCAGGATGGAGGTGCCACTCGTCTGGCCAAGGGCCCCCCCTCGACATGTCCACCCCTCTGTACAGCACGCTAGGGATGTATTCTACTCTGATGGAGAGCAGGTGAGTGTGCGCCCACAGGAGCAGCCGCCTGGCCAGACCAACCAGCTGCGCCGAGCGCACCCCTCCCTGGCAGTTTATGTAGGCCACCGCAGCCCTGTAGTCGGTGCGGAGCACGTGCTGGTCTCGCAGCAGAGGGGAGAATGTAAGATCACCTTCCACATTGTGAGGAGCTCCAGTGCGTTTATGTGGAGAGGCCTGCGGCTCTACCACAGACCGCACATGACCACAGACCGAGATATGGGACGTGATCCTGCCCAGGGGAACCCCGATCGAAGAGAAAGGGGGACCCGCCAGTAGCCCAGATCAGGGGCCTCTGTCTCACCGGGTCGACACGCAGGAGGATGAACCAGAGCGGCAGCCTCCTCATATGGAGAAGGCCCAGGGGGACCACCACGTGAGCTGCCAACATGAGGCCCAGAAGCCTTATGACCGACAGAGCTGCCACCGTTGCTTGAGGGACAACACGGCGGAGCAGCTCCACCAGAGCATCCATCCTCTCCTGAGAGAGCCGCGCTCTCCGGAAAGAGGAGTCCAGTACCACGCCCAGGTAGGTGAGTCTCTGGGAGGGGAGAGGAGCATTCTTCTTCCAGTTCACCGTAAAGCCCAGGTAAGACAGGTGTGCGACTAGCTGGGCTGTCTGCACCACCGCTTTGTCCCAGGGCGGCGCCAGCAGCAGCAGGTCGTCCAGATAAAACAGGACTAAATGAATAAATGTAATGTAAATGGACAACAGTGGGGCTCTAAGAAGAATAAGTTATCCAAACTAAACCAAACCAAACTGAACCAAAATATCAGTAGACTAATTCTCTATAAACACCGTTGCACTAAACGACATGTTCCCTTCATCATGATTCACTGTAGTTTTATTTTAAGTTGATCCCATATACACCGTCCTGCTTCCATAAATACTCACTAGCACACCAAATCCGTGGCTCAAAGTTGTCTCCAACAAATACACCATTTGCTCCTTCTTGATGTAACATTTGCAAAACACTACAATGCCCAGCAGTTTTAGGAAATTATTCACTTTTTTTTTTAAGTGAAGCTATATGTGAGCCGTTTGTGCATATTTACGTCTTCATTAGGAACCAATGGGCTTGACACTGAAAGCTGGGGAAGTCGAAAAGTATTGATATCCGCATTAATGCGCTGCTGATCTTTGTCTTTTCAAGGGATCTGTTGCCATTGACAAAAATATAGCATATCGCCTGTCTTGTTCTTTAACTTAAGTAAAGGATTTCAGTTAATTTACCATCCTTCTTTCTGAACTAGACTGTTGGCAAGCAGATGCCCTTGTTATCTAATCACAAATGTACACCCAATTGTATGTATGTTACAGACACTCATTTGTTTATTCCCTTACTTAAGTGGTGCTGCCCCCCCCCCCCCCCGGCTTTACAAAGATTTATGGTGGAGTGGAAGCACAACACATGTTGCATGGTTGCATGCCAGGAGTTCTTTGAAGCTGGTTGGCCTATCCTGGTGACATAGCCCATTTTGCATCTGGAGAATGTGGCATGCTGAGATCTTTGGCGTTGACACCACAACAAAAAAGACTGACATAATAGTGTGCATGTTATCACACAAGTTAATGTAAATCATATTAACTGTACAGCGTAGATTCCCCCCTTCTAACTATGTAAACTGCATCAACTAATCCCACATGATGAGAAGAGCTGTTGGAGAAAGGCCTCAGAGAGAGTGTTGTGTGACACCATTAAGGTAGAGGAGGAGTTGGATGTCACAGGGTAAAGAGTCCGAGTCGTGTTAGCCTTGAGGCTGTGGGGTGTTTCATCAGGGAGCATGGCTAACCTATGCATCCTGTCTTGATTTCCTGCTCTGTGAATCATGCCTGTCCCCGCAGACAGTCAGGCAGGCAGGCAGCCCACTCAGTGGAGCAGAAACACCAGGAGCTCAGTGGCTGCCATGGATACACTCCTGGAGTCTCTTTGCTCCTCTCACTCTCTATGTTTACTGTATGCAAGTGTGCATGCATGTGTGTGGGTTTATTTTGGAGGCCTTGTGCGTGGTCCCTAAATAAACAATTATGCATTTATGTTTTTGGAGTGGTGATTTTTGGTAGCTGTTGTTCATAATGTGTTGCATAGCTGTCAATCAAAAAACGTAGGTGGTACTTTCTAAATGTCTGGTATAGACAATTTTCTCGAGAGTTATTGGAAACCAAAACAGAAGTAAAAGGAGATCGCATACATTTTACATTTGTCGAGTGGTCACATAATGACTTCCAATAAATGCTAATCTTGGTCCACGTCCGCTAACATGTTTGCCATAAAGTAATATCATTGTTGTTTGTTTACAGTTTGTTGCTCAGCGCCTAAGTAGTCCTACTTGTCATGTTGTGGCCACTCGACAAATGTACAATGTATGCGATCTCCTTTTACTTCTTTTTTGGTCTCCACAAAATAAATAAATTATGGTAATGCAGGTTAAAGGGAAATTGCCATCAATATTGTATATGTAATGTTAAATATGAGTATATTTATAGATCTAAAGATTATTTAAAACAACCAGTAGTGGCCATTCTAATTTATGCTATCTCCACCAAGTCGATGCAGCAGGTACTTGCTACTGCTAAACAAGGAACTGTGGTAGTGATTCTAAAGTTAGCGCTGAATCTTGGCATTGCCTTTCTGATGTGCACAACAGTATTACACATGTGTTATAATACTGAGTGAAAAAGCTGTTTTTTGTGCATTTGGGAAGGATGATTCAAAACAATGGGAATCCCACAAATGTTAGCGTTACTGTTAGCAGCTACTTTTTACTTTGCTAATTTATGTTTCTGTTCTGTTAGTCACAGCTAATGATAGACACACACACACCCACCCCACATCACACCACATCACACCACAGAAACACTAACTTCATAGTCAATTTGTGATAATTGTATATATAAAAATTTACTTGACTTGACTCCCTCTTTATTGGTCTATGTGCTGCAGCCTAGACACTAGTTGGATAGCAGCTAGCTGGATACAAATAGAAAAAGTAGGAGTAGTAAAATGTAAACTTTTCTCTTCAGTGGAACTGCTGTCTTTTCCTGTACTATCCGCCAGAACAGTAAAATAGCTGTTGTGTGATGTCTGTGAGTAGGCTGTATTGTGTCGTGGCTATCAATGACAATGTTAAAATTCTGAATGTGAGTTTCTAAATGAATCATTTACTGTTAAACCCTGATCAATTGAGTTTCTACCTTACTACCTTCTGCATACATGTTTCTTTCAGACAGTCCATCGGCTCACCACAGGTGATGGCATCAAGCGCACTGACAAGGATGACCCGGCGGCCAGCGAGGTGGGCTGGATGACCTCGGTCAAAGACTGGGCTGGAGTCATGATATCCGCTCAGACACTGACAGGAAGAGTCCTGGTGAGTTCACACTCAGTCATCATCCTTCGTTTAATCTGTGATCGTCGTCTCATGCTACTTTAACCTACATGTAGCAGCCTGTCGGCTAAGACATCAAGAGATGAAGCGTGACATCCGATCATGATCACTCCCAGACTTCCTTGTGACAGCTAGGCACTGCCGTTGTATATCATAGTATATCTTTCTGTGAGGGGGGCCTCGCAAAAAATCTTTGTTATTACAGGGACAGGCCAGAAACCTTGCTGAGGTGGAGCTTACGTCTGACAAGCCACAAATCGTTCATGCTTGGATGTTCCTTGAATTTATTTCTGCTTGTCTGATGCATAAATATACTGTTTTGAAGTCCATATCTTGGTAGCAAATCTCTCAGACAGGAAGGCAGATACATCAAAACAAAGCCAGGGCAACAAAGAGGATATATTTAAAGAGTGTATTAAGGTCATACACCCCATAATGCCCTCAGACAGCAGAGGGAAACAGATCCAGAAGGATGGAGGGAGGGAGGGACATGTACAGTTTATCAATTGCATATGGTCAGCTGAAGTGGTTGCCATGGCGCCTGGTGTGTCTGACAGAGGAGCGTATCTATGTTCCCAGGGTCCTATGTTCCCTAACCCCCTAACCCTAACCATAGAACTGAGGAAAATAGCACCCTTTGTAATGTTCACATTAAGTGCCATATAAATCTCTGGAACATAGGAATGAACCAGAAACACATGCCTTTTTACCACCATGTTATCATCTTGTGCAGCAAGATTAATTGAAGGATGAGTACCCTGCCGCACCTGGTGGGAGGGTGTCAACAAAGACAGGTTCTGTATTCTGCTATACTTTTTTGTATAGAGCTTTTTTATAAGAGCTTTTGATGATTTTGGTCATATGTGCTTGGCAATGCAAGAGTAAGACTGAGGGAGTGATCAAATGAAATGGCGTGAGTGGGAGCACCATGCCAAGGCTTGCCGCAGTGCTCGGGGCTTATCCCACTTTCACCCACCCCCCTAAATGTGGTGCAGCATTTCCAGTTGGCTCAGTGTGTGGAGGTTGTTAATCAAGAATGCTGGGTGGGCAGCCACACTCAGGCATTATGGTTTGATGTGAAATATTAACAAACCACTTAGTTCATGTTTGTGGGACAAAAACTATAAGGAAAAAAAAAAAGCTACTGACCATGTTGTGAGGATAACAAGAAAGGAAATTATTGTAAATCTGACAAAAATGATTTCCTTAAAACACTTCATGTCAAGTGCATTAGTCATAAAATGTGCAAAATGTTTCTGATTTTGATGGATGTTGTCATTTAAACCCAGTAAAGTGACACATTTGTTGTTGTTTTGAGAAGATGTGCGTAGCCGTAAGCTTCTGCAAGGAGGTGATTAATACCAGGGACTGCATGAAACCCTGTTTTGGGGGGCTAAATACAGCGCATTTTCTTCATCTTCCTCCAAATGTCATACGAAGCTCTGATGACTCAAGCTGAACTCAGGTTGTCCCCACGGCATCTTCTATTAGTTCATCCTAAGCACAGACGCTGGCGACGGTTAATGGTGACAGCAACATATTGCTAACATAAGTGTGACATCAGCTCGACTGCCATCCTGTGTTTTCATGTGTTTCACTCTGAACCACCATTGCTCCCCTCAACAATGTGTGTGTGTGTGTGTGTGTGTGTGTGTGTGTGTGTGCGCGCAGCTCAAGTGCCCTGTCTCAATGATGGCTTGACACACAACTGTTTAGCGAGTGCTCGTCTGTAACCATGGCAACTGCAGCTTACCTAAACACGGCAGATGTGTGTTTTCTATGTCAGCCTGTTTAGGGGGCACTTTAAAGCCTATTTCCAGGCCATCTGAGAGGGAATTTTACAAGGGAGTAAGTGCATGGGATGGCTTAAATGAAAGGTATCATGTTTGTTTTTTATTTTATGCATCTATCAGTGAGTGTTTGTTGAGTAGGGGTGAGCTGCTGTTCCCACATCTTCACCCACGTTGTTCTCTTTAAAAATGTAGCTCTTGCAGGCAGCCTATTTGCTCTTGAAATATTCTGCAACTGTATTATTACTTTTGTAATGCAGCCTTCATTAATAACCAGCCAGCAGCGGGTGAATCGATCAGCTGTTAACTTTCTCCGCAACCCAGGGAGTAGAAATTACACTTATTATGTATACTTTGTGCACGTGAATTTAAGTGAAATGCATGTCCTCTAATTAATTTTACCAATTAAACCTGCTTAAATTATGAAGTGTAGATGTGAAAGGAGTCAAGAAGAGAATAAATCTTAAACCCTTAAAGACAACTGAGACATGGATTATGCAAAAAGGAGGCCAAGCTGCAGGATGCCTGCAGTATTTTGCATTTTGATGTAGGTTTATGGGTGAGTCAGACAGACATTGATTGAAGTCTCTACAGACTTTTATTTAATTTTTAATTTTAATTACTAGCTTTTTTTTCTGTTCAAAATAGTAGTTTTGAAAAGGGAAAAAAGAAAAAAAGATGCAAACATACAACATATAAGCAAGGACACAAAGTGTACAAACCACAAAATAAAATAAAATAGCTCTATAAACACAGGGTAAGATATGCGGCAAAGGTTAAGAAGTACACAGTACAAGCCTTTAATCTGACCATCAGATAGCTTCTTACTGTAGTTGGAGGGTTATATTTTTTCATGTTACAATTTCTCCCACTACCTATAATCTGGTATTTCAAACAAAAATGTGCAAAATTAACATCTACAATGGCAGCATGACACATTTAAACCAAATGTGACATGTTACACAGAGATTCTTGCTCCACACTGACCTTTTTATTCAAACTGTGAATGTTGAGTGACAAACGGGTGCAGGCTGCCCTGTGGAAGGCCCAGAGGCTCAATGTTCATTTGCCCGGCTGATCTCGCATCTCGGCAGATTGTAAAAGATCAAACCTCGCCTTCGGGGCTATTTGATTAGCAAGGAGGACACTTCCTGATGACCTTTCAGTCTGCAAAGGTTTATCGGCTAGAGATTGGTGCTCAACTCTTCATGCATTCAAATAGAACAGAAAAGACGAGAACCTTGTGTTTATTCTCTCATTTCAGATCAGCAGCATGCTGTATGTAAATACATGGTGTCCCCCAGAGTGGGGACACAGAAGGATCCCATCTGTCAGTTTATGCATTATTGCATTTCCCCTCCCCCCAGTCACTTTTGCATCATACGGGACCACCCTCCCTATTCATCAAGAATGTCATCACGTTACTGTTTGCCCGCGTCAAAACAAACAAAACTCGCAATTTGGGGGTTGAACCATGTGGCTGCAGCTTGTACCTGTGCCAAGAACCCAGCGGGTCTTCTAATGTCATGCATCTATTTCCTGTTCAGTCGCACTCCCCTCGAGAATGTAATTGTCAAGAAATTGTAAGATGGGGTGTATGTGATGGAGCAGGTCTGAGGTTAGTGTATTCTCTGGGAAAATGTGATTTCGCTTATATGATGGAACCCTGCTGAGTGACATTTAGCCCACGTGCACTCAGTTCTAGAGGTCCACGGGGGGGGGCTGTCACAAAGCTATTATTCTGGCCAGAGAAAGGTTTTCTATTAATGGAAGCACTGAGCTGCCCTCTGGCACTATTCACTTTGTAGTCTTTGCCCCCTAACCCCAATTGCAGTAACAGGTTGAACAGAGGCAGTGATGTTAAAGTCAGACTTTGTTGGTTATCTCTAGGCTGTTGCTCAGTTTTAACTCTTTTATTTAAAGGATTCTGACATAGTCACTACATGTCTTAGCTGGGCATGCCATGTGCTGTCATTGTCAGGATAAGTTAGGCTACTTAGAAATGGTGTCATTTCATCATTTGGCCTTTGAGTGGTGACATGTTCAGGGACTGTTTTCATGAAAAAAAGATGTATGTAATTTCAAATGACTTGTTTGTTTATTTGCCTATACATTGACAGACAAATATTTGTATCTGAATGGATGTAGGTGAGTGTCAGTGTTCCAGAAATATAAGAACCATATTGATGGGCATTCCTCTGTCAAAAAATGTATTGGTAATGTAAATCGAACAAAACAACAATTTTGTGGGATTTGTTTTTTCATATTTTCATTTGGGATTAATATGTATTTGAGTTTTTGGCACTACGTCTCCCATCAAGCCTTTGGTGATGTAAACATGAAATATAATGTTGCCAGTTAGATGTGGGCTTCACCTTTTAATTCAGTATTGGTTTCAACAATTATATATGACAATTTATGTCATGGCAAAGCTGCACAGTTGAAAGTCATGCAGCTGCTAGCAGTTCCTGTTTGCATTTTAATCATGGATGTACAAAGAACAAAAAACAGAAAATGTCTAAATATGATGATCATAAGGCAAGATCTGAAGTTATAAAATGGCTTTTGTAGTGTGATTTCCAAGCAGATTTGTAGATGTTTACCCTGTATGGACATCTGAGAAACTGCGATAACTTGCAGTGTAAGGTCTACTGATTTCAAATTTAAGTGTGACATCTGTGCCTGTTGCTATGACTGGGTTATGATGCTGAGAAGAAGGGATGCAATTTGTGGTGCAGAATGTCTACAGTATTGTTGGATAATCAAACAGCATCTGTAACAGTTGCAACCAACACATTTTTTTACTTTCTAGAACATCAAGTAATCAAATTTTACACAGTGAGTGGCCAGGTAAAAGGAGAAAGTAGGCTGGGTTTGAACTTGCCTCTCAAAAGTTTCTATTTTCATTCTTCACACTACTACTTCTTTCACTTTTTGCGCGAACCGCTGAATACACCATTAATGCCTTCGGGGAATGTGTGCATCCCAATTTGCACAATTCATTGTGTCGAGACTGCATAAACACACACTTGGAGAAAGATTAGGGATACAGCAAGGAGGAGGCTATGACAGCAAGTTTTTGAACCCTTATCCCGAAACTTTACAGGTTAAACAGTCTGCAAAAGATGACTCCTTCACCCTGTCTGCAAAGTCACATCTAGCTGATCATCTCTAGCTGTCAAACAAAAAGTG